GTAAGGGATTGGGGTTATATAGTTAGGGGGAAATTTGATCTGGGCCGTTAGATCATTCAAGATTAATGGCCTGGATTGATCAACTTAATGGAAACGACACAGTATGGGTTAAGTGAGACCGGTGGGTCTCTAGGTGAGACGGGTCAGGTTAAGGCGTGGGTATGGAGACGTGATCTTGGCCATTGATCAATCTGTGATCAACGGCCCAGATCAAGTATGATCAAAACGACGCCGTTTGGACGTCTCTGAGATTGGCTGATCTGGACCAGGCAAAAAACAGTGCTTTGGGCCTGATTTTGGGTCCAAATTAAATGGCCCGATTCCGATTTGTCCAATTTTAACTCATTTTTTTCTTCTTTTAATTCCTTTTCTAAATACTAAACTACCCAAAATCCTAAAATAAGTTGTAAAACTACAATTATATTAAAAGACATTAATTGACTCACACAAGATCAAACATTAATTAAACAAAATCACACCATTAAACAATAAAATGACAAAATTACCAAAAGTAATATTTTTGTGATTTTCATTCATTTAAAAACCAAATACGATTTAATTAATTCCTAATAGTAGAATAAGATCTTAAATTTACACGCAACATATTTTTTGTATTTTTAATTAATAAAAATAAACAATCAAAGACAAAAACTATAAATAACTATCAAAAAATTCCACGCAAATTCTCAAAATTATACACAAAGACAATTTGTTTTATTTTTCGATTTCTTTTGGAGTAATTGTCGTGGAAACAAAAATCATGTGCTCACAAGTTCATATTTAAAAGAATAATAATAAGAAAAAAATATCAAACCTCGCATATTCGAGCAAAACTTCTTTTGCCAGCAGTGTGTGGATATTTCAACTTTTTGCGATTCTCGGTATTGGTTTGGGACATTTTCTGCAAATTGGCCAATAAATGCAAAGTTGTCAAGTTCAGTTATCCCAATAGATTCAAATCAAGCTTAAAGTTTGCACTAGGTCATGTAACCTAAGTGCATTTGATGTATAAAAATAATAAAGTGATTTCTAATTAAACATAAACCAGACATTCTCAGCAAATCATGGGACAATACTTAGTTTTACCTTGTAGGCATCAGAGTTCCAATAATTAAGAAGATCCCTAAATTGAGATTCAGGAACATCAACCGGCCTTTTCTCCATTCGAATCTCGTCATTCTCATAGGGTTTTATAATGGTTATTAAATAGTTGATTCTTATACTTTCTCCAAGCATTCTGAATCGAATCAAAAACCCACCTTTTTGCAGCATCAGAAATATCATATTTTCCCTACAAATTTAATTTGGTACAGTTAGATTAGTGTAAAAATATGAAATATCTACACAGAATATTGCGAACATCAAACCTTGATATATATCCACATATCTTCTTTTGTTTGAAGTTTTCTCCAATTAAACACATTAAGAGGACAAAAGGCCGCATTCCTTGCCAATGTTCGAGGAAGCTACCCAACTCTGCTACAACATCACCAGTAGGACCTATGGTACTATGGGTTGATTGTTCTCATTTAGCACAATTAGCTTGCGCTCTTTCCTACCATGAACACTTGGCATCAAAGTTTTTCCTCTTTTTCTTTTTTCGTCAGAAGGACATGCATTAATATTAACTAAGAATAATCACCATATATCACGTCCATATTGTTTGATAATTTAATGAAATAAAATTTATATGTTCTTGCCTTGTTCCTCGGATTGTTTGTTTGTTTCATGATTGGAAGAATTCTCAAATTGTTCATGTATCGTTTGTGAAGTACGAGTGGTGGAATCCAGTGGAAGTTACTGCAATTGTTCACGTACTGCTTGTGATGCAAGAGAGGTAGAGTTCAGTGACTTTTGTTGCACATGTTCATGTACATTTTGTGTTGGAGGATAAGTAGAAGGCTGAGGCAGTTGCAACAATTGTTCTTGCACTTGAGATCCTAATTGCAAAAGTTGTTTTTCAATTAAATTTAGATGATGCTTGTCATTTGTCCTTGTAGATTGAACAATTCTTTTTGTTTTCAATGATGAAACTTTTTGGTTCAGCAAAGATTCAAGTGATGCTGCAATGCAATTTTTATCTTTTTTATTTTTACTTGAGTGCCCTTCCTGATTCATGACTATTCAAATTCCTATCAAATTCAGAAAATTAAATAAAAAATAAGTTATCAAAGCATTAACAACAAGACCACTAATATGCTTGAAGAAGGAAATGTGACATGCACAAGCATGAGAATGAAACCATGGACTTACTTAAGCTTAAATATAAAGACGCTCTGGATTGGGCACGTTCAAGGAAAAAACGAGGCATTTTGGAAGGAAATATCAATACTCCAGCTTTATGTAGTATGTGAACTCCCAAAACATGTTAAGATTTCATGCACAAAGGCTACAACAAGAATCAGATGGAGGCTAGAGGAAATGGAAGCAAAAAGCAGCAGAAATATGCAGGCATGGACTCATGGGCAACACCTTTTTTGCTGTACAATTATGGACACGAGGACTACAATCTGGGCTGAAGATGCAATGCAATATGATGCTATGTTACCTCAGGAAGTATTGCATCCACAAAATACAGTAGGAGCAGAAAACGAAATATGCAAAAAGGACAGTACAAGTATAGGCATCGCACAGTACTTCACAATACAAATACTCTCTACAGGTATATTTAATGAAAGCGTGCACTACTGGGAGGCAATTCTAGACAACTGGATAAAGCAAATGACAATACAAGTTAAGCAAATACAGCCTCAATGTGTTATAGGCTTGACAGTAGCTATCACTATGCAAAGAGGCTATTTGTGCAAACACGGGGCAGCATCACTGGGGAGTACCTCACTCACCTTTGATAATAGGGTCTATGTATTTATCAGAATGTTTAGAGAAGACAATAGCAACACCTGATGTTACAAGGCTACTGAGCCAGTTTGTGAAGAAGTAAACTGTCCGTGATGGTGATTCGAGTCCAAGGGTACTTATTGCACAAGTTTATGAAATTTGGGAATGGTAGAGTTGTCTCTGAGTTGTTTGGATCATAATTGGCTCTTTTTATGCTTCATATGGACAAATAAGCTAAAACACTTAGTTCATACCTGCCAATAATCACTGATTGTGTCGACACCAATGATGCCAAGGTCTAAATCTCCTGATACCAACTTTCGAACAATGTATTTTGGCCGTTGAAACCAAATCTGGACCAGATTAGATATCTGTAACCCACAAAGAAAAAGAAGGCATGTAATTAAAGTAGACCATGTAGTTTTCTAAATAATAAGCTCTAGATTCCAAAGAGATAATCCAAAAGAAAAATGCAATGCTTAAATTAGACATTTCCATGCAGCTTCGTTAACTTATTCACTTAAATACAACATTGTGATGAAGAGTTTATTGGTAAAACCAAAGCAATCAATTTAACATAAAATCATGATTTTCATGGGTAGAAATGCAGGCTTGACTCATGTTAAATTCATGGCCGAAGGTAAGATGGTCATTCTCAGATTTTGTTCAAGATTTTAAATCTTTACATTCTGTTAGTCACAATTCTATAAAGAATAGATGAATATCAGCCTATGTGTTGAATATCTGTTCAAGTTTTTAAATCTCCCGATACAAGCCTATGTGTTGGAAATATAAATGTGGCAACTTTATCCTCAATCCTTGACATAGCTAGCAAAAGAATAGATCCTCTTTTTTGTATATGGAAAAAAGGTAGGCATGAGATCACTATCGGGACAAAATATCACAAAGTGTAGGTAGGAAGCATGCTTCACCACTCCTATCTCCTAGGCTTAGAAATTTTAACAGACCTGCATTATGCAGAGGGAGTTTAAGCACATGTTCTGTTGGTTTCACAATAGAGCTAAGATCAGACACACATCTCACTAAGACATGGTCACTTTAATAGTTAAACTAACAACTCACAGTACATTAACACACAAATATGCAAATAGGTCCACTTAATACATGAGTTAGTATATGGTCCATTATAACACATTGACTTAGCTTAATAGATAAAATTGTTTGAACAAGGACAAATCATTAGGATAAGTTCTTTACAGGATCACTTACACTAACCATTTCCTTTATCACATAAGATTAGAAACTACTAGAAGTGAACAAAGGGATGTAAAGATAAACTTCTTCAAGCTACTATCATGAAATGCCCTATGGGTATATAAATTATTAAAATTATATTAACAAGAGTAATTATAAAATATTGATAAAAATATTATTACTCACTCTAAACAGAATATATTTAAAAGAATATAAGAAGTTTCTTCTTTAATCATCTGATTCCATCTAGTCCCAATCAGTATCATCAAACTCATTCTCCTCTTCCGATGTTTCTATAATTATATCATGTGAATGTTGTGCATTAGATGGAATATCAACGACATCAACGGGTACATACATATATTTCCAAAATTATTTTTAACTTCTAATAAATGGCATATTCTTGTAATATGAAGGAAGTAGATATAAGATAACAAGTTCGGAACATATTAAGAAACAAAAAATCAAAAATAGCTTCAAGAAAAACATGGGATGCTAAAGAATTCAACGAGCAGAACGTTGAAATAGAATACATTTAAATTACATCGTTTTTACACCAATATCGTTTTTACATCATTAAATTACATCGATTTTAGGAAAACATCGTTTCTCCCATTTCCAATAACATTACTTGGTACTAAATAAAAGCTACTTCTGGCTCCAATTACATATACATATAGAAAAGAATACCAATGTAACAGAGAAAAGGAGAAATAAATAAAATTACATCAAACCAAACTAATCAAATATTAAGAAACAATATTGAAATAAAAAAGCACAAGAAATAAACCAATATTGAAAGTGTAATTCTAACAACACCTAGGTGAAGAAAAAGAATGAGATTAACATACCTCTCTGAATAATCAGAAGACATGCAACAACAATCACCCTTTTTTAAGAACCTCTACAATCAAGAATCGACTTATTTCACAAAAACCTAGCTTCATTTGGATAGCATCTTCGAATCGACCATAAAATAGATTTTGGAATTTGGGGATTTTGGTCTATCCTTGGGATAAATCTATAGGGAAAGTGAGGATTTTGAGATGAATCTATTTCTGAATTTGGATTTTAGGAGTTAAAGAGAGGATTTTGAGGAATGGATTTTGAGTTGATTTTGGAGATAGTCTCGTTCTAGCATGCAGGTGAGTGTGCTGTGAAAAGGGAAAATAAAGGTTATAGTTTTAAGTTTTATATTATTAAAATTAATCAAAAAGTTAAAAGTAAAATAATGGAGTTCATTTGGCGGGTTTACCAAATTTGTTTGGGGGGG